ATCGACCCCTGGGAGGGTTAAAATTCGACACCCCTCACGAGGATCGTGGCTCCTGAGGGGGGGGCTGTAATTAGGGAACCCCCCTTCGTTGATCGATCTCCTCCAAGATGGCTCCGAAGCCCCCCAAGAGGCCCCCAGGAGGCCCCCAAGAGACCCCCAAGAGGCCCCAAGAGACCCCCCAGAGGCACCCAAGAAGCGCCCAGGAGGCCCCAAGAAGCGCCCAGGAGGCCCCCAAAGGCCCCAAGATGGCCCCAAGAGGCCCCAAGAGGCCCCCAGGAGGACCCAAAGAGGATCCCGAACGGCCCAGATAGGCCCCCCCGAGGCACCCAAGACGCCGAAAAGCCCCTCAGGACGACCCTCTACTCGCCTGGGCGTCGTTTCTGGACGGGCTGGTGGGATACGCGAAGCGTCTAGAATTAGCGACCCCCCCTTCTTTGATAGATCTCCTCCAAGATGGCCCCAAGAGCGCCTGGAAATCTCCCAAGTGCGCCCCAAGAGCGCCCCAAGAGGGTCCCAGGATGCCCCAAGAGGCGCCCAAAAGGCCTCCAAAAGGCCCCCCAGAAACCCCGAAGAGGCCCCAAGAGGCCTCCCGAGATACGCAAGGCCCCCAAGACCGCCAACATGCCCTCAAAACGGCCCAAGAAGCCCCCAAACTCGCCATGATCCTCCTCCTCTTCTTCCCCCTCCTCATATTTTTCCTCCTTCCACTGCGCCTTTTTTGGCCCAAGATGGCTCCAAACGAACCATAGATTGCCCAAGATGGCTGCAAATTGGCCCAATATAGCCAAAGATGGAAGGGATAATCGTTGTTGGATAGCCTCGCTGGCTGAGCCACGCCCATGTTCACCTGTCTTTGATGGCGGGGCAAAAAACTGGTTTGCATTGCTTCGTTGGTAGCAGAACAAGCTTTTCTCTTCGCTAACGGAGGAGCGACTTTTTTTGCATTGATATTTTCTGTATAGCTTCGCTGATAGAGGAACAACCTTTTCTGTATAGCTGCGCTGGCGAACAACCGTTTTTTTGTGTAGTTTCGCAGATGGGGGAACGACCGTGGGCCCGAACGACCCCTTCACAATCCGGAGCGCCAACTTTCGGCGCCCGCCTGCGACTGACGCATTTTTCCGTCCCCCCCCCCCCCGGTCCAGCCGACAACGCTATGTTACCTCGGGAGCATGGTTGCTCCGCACGAGGAGCTACCGCAGCGGTCGCACTGAGTGTGCCAGGAGCGGTCTACAAACAACATAACGACCGACGACAAGTAGAGAGCCCTATTCGATCACCCCGGGAGGACTGTTGGCCCCACACGAGGTCCACTAGACCGCTCGGGCTCTGAAATATCCTTAAAACTTGCTCTTGCTCTGAAACATCCGTAAAGGCTGGCTCGGCGCCCCTCCCCCACCCCCCATTCCCCCCCCCCCCAACATGCCCCCGAGCCGGAATCAGACTCTCGAGCCAAGGTCGCATCAACCTCCAAGCCGAGAACATCCTCCCCTTTCAAAAACTTCTACTGACACGGGTCACTCCCCAATGATAACGCTCGGTGTCATTGCAACGCAACGTCGGGGCCCAACATCTCCTTCAAGATGCGCCTTAGCACAGCATTCTGCTCGGCAGTGTCTTCCGACGCATGAAAGCGCCAGAGGTGTCTTGAGAAAAACCTCGCAAGTGAATCCCACCGGAATCTAATTGCATGCGCAAGCCCTGGAGTTCTGTCCGGGAGTGGAGGGCGGCCTTGGGGGCCCCCTACGCCATTCTCTGTGTGCTCTTCGGCCGCTCTGGACCCCTGAGCACGCCCAGGAAACCAGAAAGGACCCATGGAAGGGCATCGCAACTTACGACGGGACGCCGCAGGCAATAGCATCAAAAACCATGTCGGGCGTGCTCGGGGCGGGCTCTGCTGAGAGTTCTGACGCCCTGACTGCGGCGATGCAAGCGGCCTCTCCCTGCAGCAGCTCGCGCCCGTACGTGCCCGACTGCCACGAGGACGCGTTGATTTTGCGCCGCTTGGCGGCCGCCTCGTCTGAACCCCGCTCCACTGTGTACTTGCCCATGACTGCATCGAAGGTTGCGTTGGCCCTCGCTATTAGCGCCATCCGAGCATCATCCTTGATCTTCTCCTGGCGAGGCCAGGTCTCGAAGTGTGTTTTCTGCAAAGACTCGCCATACGAAAAGGAGAGGAGCCAGGGCAACTTGTCCTTGAACAGCTTGTTCATCGTGCTCAGGTACATGGTAGCTACTTCCTCGTTGTCCTGCTCCAGGCCAGTCTCGCGTGACCCAAAGAAAATGCCCGGTAACGCTGGAGGCACTGTGCGACGCAGCGCCCGCACTGTGAGCGTTGCGATTGTTTCAGCGCCAGCCGTTGTGCCCGCAACACCGTTTTTTCACCGCGTTCATCTTCAGGAGGCAGCCTTCCAGGTAAACGTGGTGATCTGCGAAAGCCTTGAACTGGGCTGCCAACACTTTCTCGGTCACTTCCGAGCAATAAGAAATGTCGTGTTCTCCTTCGGGCAAAACCTCAATTGCAACGATAGGCACCAATTTCTCACTCTGGCAAATGGAAACGTAGCGCGCCAGGGTGCGTACCGTGTCTGCAATGGCAACGCCACTTGGCAACCCCTCCTCGAAGTGGAGTTGGAGGACGTTGCGCCACTTGGCGAAACGAGCTCCCTTCGCATACGCTTCAGCGCATCTCTCCTGAAGGTCATTGAGCCCAACGGCACGCACTTCGGGCTGGCCCAATGGCCCGACGCTAGTGTTCCACATGCCCTTCTTGTTGTAGCCCTTGTCCACCTTGGTACCTGGAACCATGCCATTCCCAGTAATGACGCTGACTATCGGCTTCCCGGTTGCGTCATTTCGGAAGAGCATCTCCCAGTCCAAGATCACTCCGCTGACGTACTCGCTCAAATCCGGTGCACCGAAGCACAATGCCAAGTACGCAACGCGTTTATCAAGAACATCAGGCTCTGCGGCGACGTCGCCAGCAAGGAAACCCTTTCCCGGGGCGCAGAGCTGGGGAATTGTGGATTTCAACTCCGCCAGGGCACTCTGCGGCATGCGCGCGGAGCACAGCCCGTGCGCAAAGCCGTTCATGCCCGTCCCTCTGAATAAGTCGACGGTAGCGAAAAGTACCTCCGATTGTATGAATCGATGGTAAGGTGGAACCCTTGAGCCCACTCTCGCTGCACGACTTTGCGGTATGACGCGCGGCATGTCTTACATGATCCCCCGTCGAACTTGCGCGGCCCTTGCATGTTGGAGAGGATGCGGGTTTCTTCAAAATGGGTGATTGATCATCGCCAGCTCGCCCCGCCCTAACCCCCCGCCAGCCTGGTGCCCCGAGGGGCTGCGCGCGGTTCCTGAGGGTGCAGTCCCACGTGCCCATTTGGAACTTCTATACGCACCCTCTACGCCTCCTCTTGCGAGCCTGGACGACCACCTGGGCAGCCCCCAGAAAAACAGACAACCCATAACATGCTGACGATAAACGAAGAACATATCCAGACGAGCCCTGCAAGGGCCCAGAATGGAAAAGCTAGCACACACAATTCCAACGGTCCAGAACCAAACGGCACCTCAAAGTTGCGTCCAGAGCCCGGGTTTTCGGGGCGTTTTCACGGCCGGGGTTTGAACGTGCTTTACAGGCAGTGCTTCGCGGATGTTTTGGGCACCAGGCTCTGCGGGTGCATTGGAGCCAGGCCTTGACATATGTTTCAAGGATGTTTTCCGGGCCAAGAGGAGGAGTGGCACGGAGAGAGCCGAGAGAAGAGGGATGGGCGGGGGAGGAGGAAGGGGAGTGGCACGGGGAGGACCGAGAGAAGAGAGCGGCACGGAAAGGGCCGAGAGAAAAGGGATGGGCGGGGGAGGGGGAGGAGTGGCACGGGGAGGGCCGAGAGAAGAGGGTAGCACGGGGAGGGCCGAGAGAAGAGGGATGGGCGGGGGGGGAGGGGGAATGGCACGGTGATAGCCGAGAGAAGAGGCATGGGTGAGGGAGGAGGAGGAGGGGGAGGAGGGAGAGCACAGGGAGGGCCGAGAGAAGAGAGCGGCACGGGGAGGGCCAAGAGAAGAGGGATGGGCGGGGGAGGAGGAGGAGGAGTGGCACGGAGAGGGCCGACAGCAGAGGGCGGCGCGGGAAGGGCCGAGAGAAGAGGGATGGGTGGGGGAGGGGGAGGAAGAGGCATGACTACCATCACACGTATGAGGCCATGGCCGGTTACCTCGGGGGCTCTGTTAGCCCCGCACGAGGTCCTCCCAGCCGCTCGCACAACCCTGTGAAAAAAAACAACGTGCCTCAGTGGACAGGCGCGACAGAGTTCGGGAAGATCGCCGCGCTCCTCTGCCAATATTCCCCCCCTCCTCGCCAAATCACCCCCCTCCCTATCCCGCCCCCGCTCGCCCGAAAGAATTGAAGCAATCGCCATGGATCCTGGGGCCCGCGTGAGTAGCATTTATCCTGTACTTTCGCTCTCGGTGGCACTGCGCAGATGTGATGCGACAGACGTGTGCGTCGGATTCCTGTCCATCCATTTGCGCCCTCCACCACCTCCGCTATATGCCCCTCCGCCCCCCCCCCCTCCCCGCGCGCCCCTGGGTCATGCTCCGCCCTAGCGCGTCGCGCCACGTGGGGAAATTCTAAACGCGGCGGCCTTCTGCAACATGCGCATGCAGCGCAAGCCGCGCGAGGAACTCCGAGCAATACGCAGGCGCACGCAGAGCATAGCGAAAACATGGACAGGCCACCCCGGGAGCACCCTTGGCCCCGCACGAGATGGCCCCGAACCGCTCGCCAAAAAAACTCGGGCTCGCGGGCGCTGCAGGTCGCAAAGAGCATGCTCGACTGCATCCGTCCACATGGACCTCCTCATCACCCCCTTCCTCCCTTCTGCTGCTTTCCCTTGTCTCCTCCTCGCGCCCCCCCCCCCCCCTTCCACCCAGACCTTACGTCCACCCCGCTGCTGCCATCCTCTCTGCTCTCATCGGCGGCGCCGCTCCGAACAGTTTCACATGTTGAAGAACGTCTCGCGGACGGCGATGACCACCTCGCACCTGGCACGGCCTCACTGAATGTTGCTGCGGAAGAGTCCACGCCATCACTCCCCCCAAAAAAGCTTCCGACGCTTCCTCGAGGGTGACTCTGGCATATCATGGTCAACGCTGACAGCGCCATCGTCGTTGAGACTGAATTTGCTGTTCCCACGGTCAACACTGGCCCCCATGATGCGGACGTAAGCCGCGTCATCCAGGTGGAACGCGGCTGCCTTGCCCCACATCGTTACAACAACCACCTGGCCGTCGCTGCTGACGAGGTGTATGTTGCGCCGGGCCTTGACGCAAGTGCCCGTGGATGCATCGCAACGATGCGCCCTTCCGCCCAGTTCGACCCTTGATTTGTTAGCTTGCTGGCTGGCCACTTCAAGCGTTTTCACTGGCACGGCCATCGACGAATTGCCCTCCGCCCGGATGCGAGGGCGGCTGCGGAGCTCAAAGGCGTAGCCATTGCCTGATGCCGTCACGGGGCTGATAGCGACAACGCTGCCGCTGGGAATGTGCGAAAGAGCCTGCTCCATCTCCACAGCATGCGCACCCCGCGCGACAAGTTCGCCCAATGTCTCGCCGTCGAACACCCAGGCCTTGTACAGGGGCGTAGTCTGCTTGCTTTGGGTGGGCACAGCCCCCACGGCGATCGACTTCCCCACGAGCACGCCGTTCAGAATGGTGTCCACGGCAAGCTCATCAATCAGTGCCAATACACCAGCACCACTCGGGAAAACGTTGTCCATGCCGCCGCACGTGTCTCGCCAACCGATCTGCTGTCTTTGCCCATCGCCCCATTCGTCGTCACGCCAGCCCCAGCGCGGTTTGGTGCTAACGACCACGGCGCCGCGTCCCTGGAAGCAGAGCTCGACCATTCTTCGCGCCCCTCCGAAGGGACACGCTCTTCCCAGTAGTTCCGATGCCGAGCGTCACCCTCCCAACTCGCGGGCGACGCGTCGACGGCGTCACCCTCGTCCGCATTACCATCTCTCGACCACCTGGTCCACTCGGAATGGGAACAATCGCTCCAACCGCTGCCGATGCCCGCCCCCGACCATGCCGCCCCGTCATCCCACGTCTGTGCTGCCCACTGCTGCGTCTCGCTCCAGTCGGTCTCGTTGCTAGCCTAGTTGCCGCCGCGTGCCTCTTTCGTGGTACTCGGACGCGAACCCCACCCAGAGAAGCTCCAATCGTCCGCCTTGCTCGTCCCGCCCCAGCTCCACTTGGCGTCGTAGCAGCACGCAACGTCGTCGAACGCACCCTCCTCGGCGCTCTCTTGCTCAACCCAGTCCTTCCACTCCGCGCCCCACTCTGACTTCTCGAAGCTCTTCTTCGCATGTCCTGACTGCGGCGGCGTTGTGGGCGCTCGGTTTCCACGCGCGCCCGCTGGCTGTGGCTGTTCTGAATCGGGCGCAGCCACGGACATCACTGGACCTGACGTTCCTACATCTCCCTCTGGCAAAGCCGAGCCATGGACATGAGCACCAGCGGAAGCATGGAGATCCATGGGGCACTGGAATAAAACTGCAAGCTGATAGCCGAGTTGCCCGAAGAAGCTCGAACACGAGCCAACGCGCTGCGAAGAAATGGCGAAGGACGCCCAGGGAACTTCCATACAGCACCGGACAACTAAGGGGCCGAGCTTTACAACTGTTCGGGGGCCATGCTTCAAGGATGTTCTAGGGGAGAGGCTTCGGGTATGCTTCGGGAGCCCAGCGTTGGGGAATTCTGGGGAGCTTAGCTGCAGGGCTCGGCTGGGGGCCAGGCTGCAGGGCTGTTTTAGGAATCTGGCGGCTTCAAGGCCGAAGTCTTACAGTGAAAGATCACAATGGCGGGAAACACTGAACAACAAA